GGTTTTTCTTTGAAGACGTTTCACTTCTCATCCAAGAAGCTTCTTCAGCTCAAGAAGCTTCTTGGATGAGAAACAAAACGTCTTCAAAGAAAAACCAGAAAGTACAGTTGCCTCTTGAAAAAAAGCACCTTTGGGACAGTAGACAAGGCTGTTTTTCCCAATTGATTGCCAGGAAATTATCAAGTCTGTTCTGGACTGATCAAAATAATATTTATACCTGGCATACAAGGAGAGGACTTACCATTTCACAAGAATTATCATTCTTAAATAGCAAAGGAACTGCTGTACCCAAATATTCACTAAATGATGCTATCAGGAAGAGGTTTTTCAGTCCCTGATTCTGTTGAAAACAATATAAAAAGGGATTATAGCAGTGGTGGGTTGCTCCCGGTTCTGTCCGGTTTTTTAGAACCGGTAGTAAAAGTGGCAGGAGGCTCCGCCCACCCGCCCGGTTGTCATAATTGATGATCTGCGCATGCGCAAAGCGTGCGCACACGAGTTCCCATTGCAAACCGGTAGTAAAGGTAAGTAGAACCCACCCCTGGATTATAGGTATGCAAAGGGAAAAAACACCCCCAGAGAGAATGTTTTGTGTGCTTGTTTTTTCCCCTAGATTAATCCACTGACAAAAGATGACGAGGGTGTTTACCAGTGTCATGCCACAAATATGGTGGGAGAAACACAGGCAGAGGGGACTATTAAAGTCCTACACCAAAGTAAAAATAAGGATCACTTCCCAGCATCAGAAGACATGAAGTAGCAAGGTAACCTTGATCCCTTTATCTTCCGTGTTGTTAGAAATGCCTTTTTAAATGAATATAAATGCCTGCCTTTTTTTGATAGCCAAAGTTGGTATAATAAAATGAACAAAAAAGGGGAAAAGAAGCTTACAAGTCTGTTTCAACGTAAAGGCAAATAGATCTTAATTTCCATGGAACATTTATAAGCCACATGGTTGCAATTTCCACACCATGTTCCCCAGAACTCACCTTACAGGAGTTATTCTTTGAAAGGCTTTTATCCTACATTGGGTATGTTGAATTTCTAACTTTTCAAAAAAGAAAATTAAGTTGGTATCATTGCCTAGTGCTGTCAAGCAGAATGAATGTACATTTCACTATAGGCAAAGTCAAGGCATTGTAAGAACTATGAAAATGTTGCTGGAAATTGCCACTATATGGCTGTCCCTTCAATTCTAATCTCTAAAAGTATGGAAGCATCTCAGAAATGAGACCTTTTGCAGCAGTGATTTATCTTGGGGTAATTGGGGGTTGTTATCCTCAACTTCATAATACGCATGATGGATTTCAATGGAGAAAACCTGTAAAGGCAGATTGGTTGACTTAACTTTCTCAGAAAAGGAAGGAGAGAAAACTATGACAGTCTTATTGGAGCAATGAACTGCTTGATGCTCACCAGATAGTAGTGACAAGGGGACCTGGTAGCATACATGTTTCAAGGGGACCTGGTAGCATACATGTTTCTCCAATTAAGATATGGGGGATACAGCAGCACCTTTTTATTATTGCATTGTAACTGTTTGTGCCTTTAATCTATTAACTGCACAGAAACATGCTATTATAGGCCAAAATAACAGCTTGTGAGCCAATTGCAATTTTTTCTCACTGTATTTGTAGTTCCTTATATGGAGACTCTATATCAGGGTTGTCCAGCCTTGGCAACTTTGAGACTTATGGACTTCAACTCCCAGAATTCCCTAGTCAGCATGGTAATTCTGGGAGTTGAAGTCCACAATTGCTAAGGTTGGACACCCATGCTCTACAGTATTAATGATACTACCGGTATTCTACATTTTTCCAAGAACTAGTCCATATGTTTGAGAAGTACAGCAGTTGATGCACATTTTCTGGCATATGACTGCCAGACTATCATTCTGCAAACAGTCCACATTCATTTGCATACACATTATGCAAATAGTTTTGGCTGTAGCTGCTACACAAAGCAAGATCAGTGAATGCTAGCCAAAGTTGAAATCTAACACTTCACCTTAAAAGGAAAACAGAAAACCAGAGCAGGTAGGAATATGGTGAAACAGGAGAAAGTGCATTTTAGGGTCTGATAAAAATAGGAGCTAAAAGATAGGGGTGAAAAAAAGATGATTATGCACTTTGGACACAGAAAGAAAATTGATGGGTTACATAAGGCGTGTGTGTAGAAAAAGAACAATCAAGAATGAGGCAATAAACTGAATTATAGCCAATTATTTGTCTGTAACTGAAGGATAATTCAGCCTTCTGAATTATCAGAAGCCTCCACATTAATTTTCTGTAAAACTGCATATAAATATTATTTGTGAATGCCACAAGTTATTTTTTTTCTCTCCTTCCCTCACATCTGTTTAGGAAACATCCTCCAGTGGGATCAGAATTGAACACAATCTAGACACCAATGGATTAGTGATTGCTTTCTTACTTTCTGAAGACTAGAAGACACTGTCTCAATCTTTTCTTGAGTAATGGTGATATTTGTACCTCCTTTTTAGTGCTTGATGAATATTGAATATGTAGTTAGTATGGAACAAAGACATAATAAAAGCATGTTTTTTTAAAAAAATGTTTTTATTGGCACGCTTAAGTAACATCTAGGAAACATTACAACTTACTATAGCAACAAATTAACTGGCAAAACATTAATGTATTCAGGGCCATTTAAAACTGAGACATGAAGAAAATATTCATTGAAGCTCTCCCTTCACTAAGCAATCGATTCTCCATCATTTTTGTCCATAAAACTAAATGGCCTACTAAATGAGAAATATCAAAAATAATATTGTATTTTAATGCATTAGTTTAACCACTTGACTGAAATTTGCTAGATTTATATTCATCTTTCTTCCAAAACCCTTATGCGGGAACTTCCCTTCATTATATAACCACCACAACAACTTGTAGGGTAGATTGAGTGAATTGCTGGTTGAAAGTCATCGAGTTTTTATGGCTTGTGTGGAATTGAATCTTGTTTCCCCAGCCCAACAGTTCAATCAATACATTGGCAATCAACTTGAGCATTACAAATTCTGAACTGGATTCTGAATAGGACTCCTGTCCTATAGAACCTACAACATGTGTCAATAAAATACACACAAACACACGCACATCCCTCCAGAATGCTATAGGGCAGTGATGGCTAACCTTTTTGTTGTCACATCCCAAAAGCAGGGGGAGTGGGGGGGTGTCACGTGTGCACATGTCCCATAATTCAATGCGCCCCGCTCCCCCTGTGCATGCGCCCACGACCCCCCTGCATTCCCACTGCTTTTGGCACGCGATAGCCAGTAGGCCCGTTTTTTGCCCTCTCCAGGCAAAAAGGGCAAAAATGGCCTTCCCCACCACCCCGGAGGCCGGGAAAGGACCCATTTACCTACTTCTGGTGGGCCTGGAAGGCCTGAAAATCAGATGGCCGGCACACACATGCGTGCTGGAGCTCAGCTAGGGCAACACTTGCATGTTCACAGATATGGCTCCACGTGCCACCTGTGGCAGGCGTGCCATAGGTTCGCCATTACAGCTATAGGGTCTCCTGCTTGAATATGGGCGCTGAACTAGAAGACTCCAAAGTCTTTCAACTCTATTATACTTTTACATCCTTAAAAGTGCACTAAATTTGAGAACACACTGTTTCATCTTTATCATCTTTGTTGCTTGTCTTATTATAGAATAATGCCTTTAATCTAGCAGTATTCTCTGCCCAAGGTAAAAGATGTTATGACAGGTTTTGAAATGCAATAGAAAAGATGGAATCTCGCAATTAAACTGCAGTTTCCTGCATGCTTATACCCATTTAGTAGAAGACAAACCCCTGTTATTCTATCTTCTCATTCCCGAGTTTACTTTTATATTTTGATTAGGTAGGTACACTTCAACACAAAGCAACCCTTAAATTTCAGCTACCTAGTTTTTATTTTCCAAAAATAGTCCTCAGATTTTGATGGAACCTAGAGGCATTCCTGGGGGGAGGGGGGGGGAATCTTTTCCCTAAAAATTCATATCTGATTTTTAAAATGACCAAAAAATCATGAAACTACAAATGAAATCCCTATTTAAAAATGACCACACCACTTTTCTTAGGAAAACGATTGCTATTTAGCTTTGACATCTGGTGGCTGCTTTCATTTATGGAAATGCTCACATGATATATTCACATGATTTCATTTTGAGTTGTCACTAACGAATTACAGAAAACAAGTCACTAAGAGAAATCAAAATAGGAAAAGAAAACAGCCTCATACACATAACCCGGACTGCTTTTTGAATGAAATGAAAGCCCCTGCCAGTCACTCGTTTCTGGAAGAAGCTGACATGGATATGAAAGAGAGTGTCTCCTTTTTGTAAATGGCATCTGGATACCAAGGTCTGCTATCTTCCAGTTAGATTATCTGGCTGACCTAGCCTCCATTAATTTAATATTTAAAAAGAAAAAAGAAAACTTCTGAAGCTACATCTAATTTCTTCATTGATCTCAAGGGAGACAGTATCAATAGGTTGACTATGATCTTGGTTCATTTCAAATCAAGATTTTAGGGAGCAGGCACATCAATGTAGGCGCAATTCCAGTTTTTAATATGAAAGTCATGACTAAACTAGTATCTATCTCCCCATTTAGCAGCAGTGATTGTATAAGTCATCACAGTATGGTATTCTTCCTTTTTTTGCTCTCTGACCTGACAAGCAACTTCATTAGATGAGCCTACATTTTAATCATAACCAAATTGTTCTGTCTACTCCATGACTTTTTCTTTTTTTGCTTGATTGCTTAACAAAACTGAGTGCCATCGCAAACAAGAAAAACAGGAAAAGTAGTCAGCTTTGCTTTTGGCTCAATTTAGCATTACCTGGTTTTGATCTTTTGAAAAGCTTCAAGCACAGTGCTGTATGGTGTTTTTTTTTTCTCATCTTTAAGTGTCAGAACTTAACAAAAAGGATGCAGTACGAAAGAAGTAGTTTAACTAATCTGACTGGAAATATTGCAGAACACTATCATTAATATATATACTCCATTTATTTTAATCTTTCAGGATATATCCATAAGGTTTTACATGGAGACTTTATAGTGACAACAATATCACTGTTTACACTTCAGATATAATTATATTCCAATGCATATTTAGTAGCTTTCTGAAATCAGGCCTGATTATAAGCTCAGAATAAGAAAAAGATTGCACCACATGAAGGCAAGAAGAACACAAGTCTGGCACACGGGAAGAAGAGTGACAAAAAATATTTTACTTTTTCAGCTGTTCAACAATCTTCATATGGAAATGTTCAGGATCCATCTCTTAGGATATGGAGTCACTTATCTATAGTCTGTTCTTAGAAAAGCATTCAGTCCAGCTTGGTCTTCCATGTAGGCAATCCTTGAAGCTTTTACTATCATATGCTGTCCAGCTTCTTTAAAACAAATGGAGCTATGGAAAGAAACACAATAATGCTCTCAACAAACAAAATGAGGCATTTAGATCTCGATTCCTGATTTAAGTTTAGCTAAATGAGGAGGATGGTAAGTGATGGTATTCTCTTAGTATAGGCAACTGACAATGAATGTCCTATATAAGTGTAACTACACCATGGTAAATTTTCTAGTAAAAATTTTTTTTACTTAGTTTCTTCCCCATGGTGATGAGCCACGATGTTCTGTAGTAGTGCACTAATCAATCTGATCTTGAAAAAGCAGATTTAAGACAATTGCACTGAAAACAAATTTGAGCTTTCCACTTCTTGAGCACCTCTATTGTTCTGAAGGCATCAGTGTATATTCAATACCTAACTTTAAAGTTATATAATACAGATGTACAAATTGCGAAATACTAGAGAGATATTTTCAAAATGCAAAACAAAACAGAAGGGCATTATTTCTCAAGTGCCAAATGGTAAGCAGGCCCATTGAAAGATTTTTTTTTTCTCTACTGCACTTTCTGGGTATCTACTGTTGGAACTCAGTTTGGCAGTTTTCAAAGAACTGCTACCTGTCCAAGACTCTGACTTTATGAAATACTGTATTAGAGTAGTGTCCTTATATCTCAGCTGCAAGAATGAAGACATCTATTAAATTACAGTGATCTTTAAATTTTTTATTTATTTATTTATTTGCTGCCATGTAATGACACTCTGGATTTGAACTTGGATTAATACCTCTGCTATGGAAGATGTGAACGGAGGAAAGTGTTGTGGGCTGCATTACAAAATTTAGCGACTTCGCTTCTCGGCCTTTTGGCTAAGATCAAGTGTACAAAATTTAGCGACAGCACCAGGTTTTCCTGGTTATCATTTTTCTGTTGTTTTTTTTAAATTTTACATTGTTTTCATCCTTGGGTTGCGATTCCTCCAGAGTTTGGTTTAAGATAAGACAGCCACATAAATATTTATACTAACTTTACTTATTTGAAACAAATTAGCATGTATTATTCCTTGCGTGAGTAACTCATCCCTTGCCCGTCAGAGATTAGGCAGCCAATAAATTTAAATAAATAATCTGCTTTAACTTCAACCAGCAAACATAGCACCGCCTTTCCCATTTTCCCCTAGGGCTGCACCGAGGCATGCCTGGCCAAAGGTCCCCCAATGACCTCCCATGAGCCGGAGTTGCCTTGAATCCAATTCCCCTCTGGATCTACTTCAAAGTACCCCTTAGCCACTATTCCGCCCCGCATCTTCTAATGGCATGAAATGCTACATAGCCACTCCTTGTATGCCCGTATAAAAAAACACCCCAACGTTAAGGTCGCTCCTAAATCCGGCTTTGCAGCAAGGAAAATCCCAGCACGTGGCCGCCGCCGCCGCCCCAGATGTGCGCGCGGGAGGCACTCACTGATGCGCAGCACGGCTACGTAGATGAGGAAGTTGCGGATCGAAGAGAGAACGTCCTCGCGCATTTTGCGCTTCAGCTCCTCCGGGTCCAGCTTTGGCCCCAGACCCTCAAGGCGGAACATGGTCTCCGCTGCCGTCGGCGCCCACCGCTCCTCCCCTGAGCCTAAAAAACTACCCAGGGGCTCCCTCTCGAAATAATCCCGCCCTCCCTACGGATGTCATTGAGGGACAAATTTCTTGCTACGGTCGGCGCCCAAAGGGAAAGACTATAGTAGTTCTCCTTCTACACTTCCGGTGCAGAACGCTTTTCAATTCTTGAGTTCCGGAGCCGAAGGAAGGTTCTGATCCTAAGAGATGAAACAAAGTCTCTTTAAGGCTGGTAGAAAATCGCAAGTGGTTTTTTCTTCTTCTTCTGATTTTTAACGTTTCGTCTTTTCCTCTCTCATAGTTTCCTTATTATGTGAAATAGCCCCGCTGCCTGTCTCTTGTAAACTTTTTTTTTCCTGTTCTCTGCACAGGAAAATTAAAATTGGAAGGGCGGGTTTATTGCAGCCTTACTAAACTGCAACATTTCGGTTCCTGCTTCGATCTGCAATTAAAAAAATAATCGCAAAGGTGCTCTAACTACACTTTTATAATACTTTTGCTAGGGGGGAAAAAACAAACATTACAATGTTATAGCCAACAGTATGCTGCAAATTCAATAACTATTTGGCACATAGATTGGGAAGTTGAGACTGAAAAAAATACTATCCTCGTGTGCCAGAGCTTGTCTTTGTTTTCTTCTGTTTACAAGAATAAAAGGAAGAGATTTTTGGCCAAATTATTTAATTCGTTTTATTTTATTTTAAATTTTGTATTTATATGTTTTATTCTATGGCTGTTCACCGCCCTGAGTCCTTCGGGAGTAGGGCAGTATATAAATTCAATTAATTAATTAATTAATTGGTAATTAAATAAATAAATAAATAAATGATAAATGATAAAGTAAAGAATTCTAGATATAGAATAAAGTACACATGAGACCTACCCAATCCATCTATAGATGTAGCCAGTTTGACAGATAGCAAATTGGAAGACAATTCCATCATCCTGATGACCTTGATCACAAATTACCTGCAGAATAGGTTTGCCCAACCCAGTGTGAACACTTTAATATAACTGGCTATAACTGGATTGTGACAAAATATGGACTTCATTCTGGATGCTTGCAATGATAATCAATGAGACATTAATGGACATTTCTGTAGCAGCTACTGCTCAGGCATTGTTCAGAATTGGCCCAAGACATTTTGCTACCCTCAAAAGAACAACAAACAGTAACTATTTGATTGGGAAGAACCTCATTTCATCCATGACAGCAAATCGTCTTTACCATCATCACTATTTTTAATGTCATCTAAAATCGGCTGCTTCACATCTCTCTCCATCTAATAATATGGCATTGCCTGCCACCCAAAATTGCAATTTACAAAGAGGAAAGGAATGTCTCTGGCTCCAAACTGCAGGCAGAATACTTCTCAGTAGGGCTGCCACACTGAAGATCCTTAAGCAGTGAAGATCCTCAAGCAGCAACTTCTAATTCTGGGGGGGGGGGAAGTGTTCACCATTTTAAATCCCACCAATGCTACATCAAGTATTACAAAATATGATTGAACATTTAAAATGACAACCATCTTCCTCAGTTTTACCCACTTATGCTGTTGAAAAAGTTTAGGATTAGGGGACTGTATTTGTATATGATAACTGCTGCAAGACTATTACATGTACAAAAATGGGGAAAAAAACTGAAATATAATGGGATAGTTGGCTAAAATGACATATTTAGCAGAAATGATTTTCCTGATTAGGACAAGGACAATAACTACATTTATTGGAAGTCATTGGAAATATCGTTTGGACTTTTTGCTGAAAAAAATCACGGGTTGCAAGCCAACTCATTATAACTTTTTTTCCTTTTTTTTTCTTTCTTTCTTTTTCTTTTATTGCATCTTTTTCATTTATTCACTTACTACTGTAGGAAGTTAGCACCCACCCCTTTCCTGGAAGAGTGAAATATTTTAGGAAATATGAAAAAGGCAGAATATTATATTTCCCTGGGATAAGCATGTTTTGAAGCAGCTCCCATCTTCCTGCCCCCCACCCTTTGTCAATGGGCCATTAAGGCCTGGGCCAGTCTACTCTACATAACAAAGATCTACCTCCTTCAGGCAGAGCCATAGTAGGAATTGCCAAAGATGGGATTAGCCCTCTACACAATAGCAGCAGAAACTCACCACATGTGACCTGGGAAGCACATGTGACCATCAGCCAGCAAGGCCCCCACCCCCTGGGAGTCTGACAACCAATCAGGATACTCTTTCTGGGCCCCAGGAAGTTCAAAGCCAGAGAGAGCATAAAAACCCGAGGATTTACTGTATCTGCCCTTTTCTGTTCAGGAACTCAAGCCATGTGATCCTGTCCACCATTAAACCATCTTTCCAAGCAGTCTCCATGTTTCCAGTGTCTGTTTTCCCCACTTGGAGCAGAACCTAGAAGGATGTTTCTTCCAACACTACTAACTTTATTCTTTTTTCCAAAATTTGTATTGCATATAAATCTGATAAAATAAATAAATAAATAAATAATTCTCTTAAAATTTATTTAATAAAAATTATTGTAAAACAAGAATCGGGCAGCTGGTTGATTGAAGAATCAGTGATCTCTGACTAGGAGCTTTATACTACAAGCAATCATTAATAAAACCCAACGCTTGTTGGAGCATCTGAAAGGACAATCAATATAGGAATTCATTCTCCTAACTCTTGTTACCCTGCTATATGGTTTGGGGCATAGAAAATAGCAGGGAAGAAACAAAGCTATGAGGACGAGAGTTAAAACTGGGGTTGCTAGGCCATTCTAGTGGTTCTACAAATAGTTAATGAAAAAAGGCTCAGAATTTGGGTCCTCACTCTGATGTAATAGTCAGGTTACCTTTGATTCTATGCTTTACAGGAATATGGGAAGGAGAAACACATGACTGCTAGAGAAGGTATAACTCTTTTCTAGCTTTCCCAGTGTAGGAAGTTAGCACCCACTCCTCTCCTAGGAAAATGAGATGTTTTAGGAAATACTAAAAGGGCAGAATATTTCCCCTAAAAGGGAGGCAGAAACTCAGGAGCCCCCCTACCCCACCTTTGTTAATGGGTCATTAAGGCTTGGGCCAATCTAATCTGCATAACAAAGACCTACCTCCTTCAAGCAGAGCCATAATAGGAATTGCTCAAAGGCCCTTCATTACATCATCACCCAGCAAGGCTCAACTAAACTTGGGACTTAAGACACCTACAGAGTTACCACTGCATGGCCCCATGGGAGTCTGACAACCAATCAAAATACAAGTTCAAATTCAAAGCCGAACAGAGGGTATAAATCTCTCTCTGTGTGTCTCTCTTCCACCATTAAACCATCTTTCCAAACAGTCTTCATGTTTCCAGTGTCTTTTCCCCCCACTTGGAACTGAACCCAAATGGACATTTCTTCCAACACCAGGTTGAGATTTGGGAGTTGAATGCAACATGTACGTGTTGGGTGTAAAGTTTGCTGTGCAAACTTCAAGGTTTGCCTTCTCACTGCTTGAGGGTCTCTCTGAAATTTGTGTGGTATCCTAAAAATGCTTTGTCACTGCTGAGAACATCAGGTGGGCATTCAAATAGAGAAAGACAGGAAGATCTAGGAAGCAGTATTCATACATTGGCAATTAATGTTTATGTATAATTCATTCCCACTCATTCAGTTGGCAAAAATTAGAAGTGCTGCAGAACCAGAAAGTTAGGCCTTTGGGAGAACATAGTGGAGGAGTAGAGAGCTTCTACAGACAGCTCACAGAGCTGTGACATTTACTGCTAAGATGAAAGGAGATGATACTAAGAGATAAGCACACACAAAAAAATCAAAGTGTCTGATAGACTAGGTGAATTGAAGAACCTTTCAAATATAAATTCTGAAAACACCTCATTAAATGCTAGAATGTCTCTCTTATTCTAGTCATTTTCTGTGGCTAGAATTAGGGCACACTACATTTTTCAAACAAGGAGCCACACTTGACCAATTAGCCTTAATTCACCTTTGTTGCCAAAAATAATAAATTATATCTAGCAATGATGTTGATTTCTCTTATGTTTTCTACCATCCTAGAATTGTATGTACCATAATGGGATGGGAGAAAAATGAGCTGAATTTCTATTTTCAGAAATGGTGATTTCATAGGCATTTGCTTGCTTCTTTCTAACAGGATTTGGTCAAGCTGTTTTGCAATATATCTAAACCTGTTTTGCAGATTGTAAAATCCAGTTTGGAAGTCTAAAAGTTGTTGTCCGTATCATCTAAAATATAAACAATGTAAAACGGTTATAAAACCAGCCATGTTTTTCTCTAACACGTTTTGCAGTGATTTTGTTCAGTTGGTATAATAAAGCTATCACTATTATGGATTTTGATTTTTTCCCCTCAACATACACTATTTTTATACTTTATATTTTTATTTTCCATATCTTTACTAATGTTCTCTCTTAATAAAAACTGCAGATCAGTGCAATCTGGATGCCTCCTAAATGGTTTTATTTTAAATTAACCTAATTCTATTTTTTTTTATTGACCTTCAAATAGTTTCTTTTACTATTAATGCTTTTCTTTCACAGTTTTCAAAATCCTTTTCTAAATTTTTCTGAGCTTCAATAAGAAGAGCAACAGAGAAATAGAATGATGATTATGATTGCCAAATTCCATAAAGAATTTAAGTCTTTTTCTCCAGAATAATTATTTGTGAATTGCATGCAGGGAGATATTATCTTATATCAACTGAGAAGAATAGAAGCAAATGTTAAGGAGAAGAGAAAGAACGAGAGGTGCAAGTGACTGTAGACATACTTGCTGAAGAACATGGATTATTTGGAAAATATACACATTTCAATCTTTTGTTGTGTTTCCTGTCCAGATAACTTTTCTGATTTTATCTCTATCTAGTATCTTTCCAGGGCAGCTACCTGTTACCCTAACCTGTTTTCACTCCTTTTTTTCCCTTCTTCTTTTTTGTTGTTTCTACTGGAAGCAGGGAGGAATATTCTGTACATCCTGATGCAGGATCAATTATTTTTATAAATGGGATGCTTTTACAGTGAAGAAATTTTAATCCTTGGTTATTTCATTATTGTAT